AAATTGGGCTACTATATTGTCCAGTATTTTGCAATAATTAATTTTTTGATTAGTGTTTTATACAATAAATTGTAGTTATCTGGTGAGATTTGTAAAATTAAAGACAAGTGATTATTAAGGAAATTCATAATCCTAAGCCCCATCTTTTGTCTGAAGATCAAACAACCAGAGTTCTTGAGGTGCTTTAGAGAAATCATACTAGAAAATTGCCTAACGTAAGAACTTCAAATGAGTACTGGAGAAAGTGAAACTGATTTTAGAAATTTTAATTCTTTTAAGTGTATCATTTTAACACTTTAATAATAGCCTTCTTTTCAATAGAGCTCTGCAGATTTGCTGCTACTTTCCACTAATGTTAGATATATAGAAAGAACCTTAACTTTTCCAGGCCATTTAGGAACTCTTCAGAGTCTGGAACATCCTGAACAATAATCATTTCCTGTCAATTTTTCTAGTTCATGATCTTCTTAATAGTAATGTACAAAACATTAAAGTGTTGTTCAGAAAAACTTCTTTACTCTCTTCCAAGATTTTAATCATCTCTAATCGAAGCACAGTTTTCAGCTGAGATCACGTTATCCTAGGCAGTAAATCTTCTTTGTTTTTGTTCCATTAAAGAGAATGGTTAACAGACTATTCATTGTTCATCTATTAGCTGTATTCTAATACATGCTAATTATTTAAAACATTATGTATCATATAGTGCTAAGATAACACCAATCATTTCCCAAATAAATATATTTATTTATTCACATTTATAGCTCATTACCTTGGTATAATAATGATTCAGCTGCTTCTCTCTCGTTGTTGAAGTATATAACTTCTGTCTGTCGTATTTTAGGAAAAGCAAAACTACATTTATCCATTTTAAATGTTGACTCTAGTATGAAGTCATTTAGTACTTAGATTTCTGGGGGTGAGGGTTGAGTTGTATATGTGAATATGTTATACTCTAAATATGTTCAAAATGTATTCTTCTGAAATTTTATTTATAAAAAGTATTTTTCATATTCTTTCTTACTGTCCAGAGCTCTCATTTTTAAAAGTATATGTCTATTTGTAATGGAAACCTGAGCTAATCCCAATGGTAAGCGTGCTCAGTTGTTTAGAAGTCAGTAGAGAAATATACCTGGTGCAAGCCTCAAGTAGATAGCAGAATCATCATTAATCATCATTAGACTAGAGCCTTTAGCTAATTTCTCTTCTTTCTTTACACAAACTATTCCATTCAGTGTCCTTCTATTCATGACCTTCTGCTTTAAGCATTGGAAATAAGCCTTTGCTATTTGCTAAGCATACTATTATGTATTTTGAATATATTATTTTGAATATATTTTTCTCAAAAATCCTTAAAATGGAGTTTATCCTTATCTTTCTGGTAGGAAAGCTAAATCTGAGAGTTTAAATTAATTAAGTTAAATCTTTGACTCTTGGGTGCTAAGAGACACACAAAGATGAGGAAGATACTGTGCTGGCCTTTAGGAGTTTGTAGTCTAATAGGGGATTTGAAAATTAAACATGAGCACATTTACATATATATACACATATACACATATATATATACACACAGAAGCCCTATGACAGGAGGTCATATATGATGAATTACACACACACTATCTCTTGTCATTGGGTTGTGTGTGAATAAAAGGCATAAAACCTTTATGCTATTTTAACACTGAGAAAAAAGGCACAAAACTACAGTATGGAGAATCTTATTTTTCCTTAAATTTTGCATATCTAAAATTTTAGCTCAGCAAACTGGATGATTTGAGAAGTCTTCCAGTAAAGATATGCACAATGCACAGCATGCTAACCTGTGTTTTAAAAATTAAAAAATGAAAGCCTTATTCTAGCCTTTGTGCAATTATGAATCATAGCAACAAGACTAGACATCATGACAGACCTAAAAAGACAAAGACTAGAGTAAACAAAATCAAAATTCTAACTACTTAAATTGAAAGTCAGGTAAGCAGTTGGGTTTTAGATATGAAAGAAAAGCAAATCAGACAGAAACCAATCAGGAAAGCATGGGATACAAGAGTACCAGGTGGCTTTGGATATCAGGATAAGGTTCTAAGACAAATATTAAAAATGAGGCATGTTCTGTGTCAGCCAAGAAGTGTCATATATTTCCTGCTGAGATAAAGATATTCTTCATCCTGCAGTTGAGAATCAGTGTTTCCCTATTAGGTGATGGGATATGGATGAACCTGGCCAAATGGGGAAGGTGGAGCCTGAGGATATACTAGGAGTAAATGGTAAAGTTGGGTTTAATATTTTTCCGAAACAGATCTCTTGGATCTATGTAAAAATAATTATGTTTTTGTAGTACAGTCTTAATATATTATCTATTGTTAAGTATTCCTAGTTAAGATTCTTTAGTCAAAGATATTCCTGAAATTTATATAAGCCAGTATTTGGCTACTATTTAATCATTATCATCATCATTATCATTGTCATCATTTGTCATCACTTGTCATGTGTCAGATATTGTGCTAAGTGCTTTATACGCATTATCATGCTTAATCCTTGCAGCAAGCCTTGGAGATAGGCAAAATTATTATTCACATTTTAACAGGCTCATAGAAGCAATTGATCCAAGATCACAAACCTAATAATTCACATAGCCAGAATTCAAACCAATGATTCAGTCCGACTCCAGAGCATTGGCTCTTAGTGATTATATTATTGCCCTTACTACTGCTAGAGTTAAAACTTACAGTTTTCCATTTGATTTTAGATGATATAATAATCCCATGATCAAAAATAAATGAGAAATATATTATCAAAACTGCTTTCATATTTGATAATAAATTACTTTTAAAGAAAGAATAGCAGATGGCTTTTCTTTTGTATTGTAAATTATAAGAATCAGACAGAGAAAAGTTCCCTGTATGCAGTATATCTATTGAACAATTTTATAGCTTTGAAAAATTTCTTAAAACTTTGATTTTTGTATCAATAAATGCCCAAAAAATATATAAATAAAATGAAAGCCTTTCATATATGCCTTACCTTGAGATCACATTTAATTTAAATACATTTTGTGAAAACATATATAGATCATTTATTATATTACATAGTATACACTATATTATTATGTAGTGTACATGTTGTATATACTGTATAGACAGATATAACATAGCTAATGTTGACACCCTTCATTTAAATGCTATTCTGGGCAATGGCTTTAAATATTGCCATTTAAGGTAAAATATTTGGTATTTTAAAATGACTATTTGAAAAATAATATTATTATCTAAATTGCCTTTGAATAAATCCACTGTAAATTGATAATGTTCCTTTTAAAATCCAACCCTGTAGTTCTATTTAAATAGATATTTCCTGGGAAAAGACAGCAATTTTTAGAAGAATTTAATTGTATGCTTTTTGATAATTGAGAGTTTATCTAACAAAATAGAAAGTTAAAGTGGACTAAGAAAGGCTAATTCTCACCTAAAGTGAATTTATGTTGCTAGGTTAATGGATCTGACTAAAATTTTATGGAGCCTTAGAAATAATTTCTTTACTTTACATTTGAAGAAGAGTCAATTATTAACTTAAAAATGGATAGCTAGATACTGAGAGGTTTTGGAAAAAAAGCAACAGATCACTTGTATCAGATCTATTGTTTAAACCATGTTCTGTTGCCACTCAGTTTCTCTTGGCCAAAATGTTTATGTCTATCTAATATTTGCAACAAATTGTTATTCATAGAGGATTGTTTAGGTAATTATTCTTTAAAACATAGCAAGTAGTTGATATAAAGTAATCATCTTTCTAAGGCTTTTTGAAATTTGCTAGTATCTGTGATTAGAAAATTCTCCTTTGCAAAATTAACTAGATAAAAATGTTTCAGCATTAGGATTGAAGTGCTTCTTAACAAATAAAAATCAGTTAGCAAATAATCTCTTAACCCAATAATAGTCATATTAGATGTTTATAGCAAGAATGCTATTGAATGACCAAGTTGTAGTAATGCAGTAATAACACATACTACATTTACTTACATTATGCCAGATACCACATATGTCTTAGTTCTGATTTTCAAATCAGCTTTGCAGAAAAAGATATTATCAATTTTTTAAAAAGAAGCCTTTTACAGATTAAATGATTTGCTCAATTTTATTCAACTGGTGAGAGTTTTTCTTACTCTAGGTTTCCAGATACCAAGGTCTATCCTTTTACATCTTAACAAGAGAACTCTTAGCAAATGATATTTTGTTGCCAAAATAAAGTTAAATTTTGTGCATTAGTTTTTACATTAAATGTACTTTGTGAGAATAGGTCATATACATAAAGCATTTATGATGGTTTTTAATTTACCAGAATATTTGAAAACCCCAGAATACTCTGCAACCCTGGCTGTGCCAGTTAACTATCTGATTATTTTAATTCCAGGAAGTTTGAACTATTGTAAATAATAATGACTTTTTCTAGTATTTCTAGGATTCATCAAAGTCCAGCAACCACTCTGAAATTAAACTTTCTCTTTTTTTCTTGACTCGTCCAAAAAGAGTTAATGGTTTAATAATTAGATTTTATATTATCTCTAGGTTTTCAGTGAAGCATAATGGATTGATGGCTACTAGAATTGTTTTTATTTAAGTTATAACGGCAGCTTTATAATACATGGGTTTTTTTTCTCAAATTTTATTAAAAAATTAAAAATTCTACTTCCTAATATTAAGCCAAATGTTTATTTCCCAGATTTTACCCAAATGTTCTTTCCTGAGGCCAGTGCTGTTTCGAAACTATTTTAATGGCCTTCATTGGGGTGTGGCAAAAACATTCTAATTACTTTGCTAAAAACAAAGGTTTCATATAAATTGAATTTTTCTTTTAGGATAATTGCCATTCACTTTTGTTTTATATGCAACTGAGTGGGATTTTGCAGTTTCCTCTGTGGACAATTAAAGTGCTGAAATAGGAGAAAGCTAATAATTGCTTTGTGTGGTAATACTGACAACTTCTGCGTATTTGTCAATCTGTGTTAACAGTATCGATCAGGATGGGATCCTCATAGAGGGGCAGATAATGTTTCTACTAAATCTTCGGACAGTGATGTAAGTGATATATCTGCGGTTTCAAGGACTAGTAGTGCTTCTCGTTTCAGCAGCACAAGCTACATGTCTGTCCAATCAGAACGGCCAAGAGGAAACAAGAAAATCAGGTGAGTAAGGGGATTTCAACAGTAAATTTCTCTAAATATGATTTAGGTCTTTATGTTTCTTGGATGAACATAAAATTCTTTATTTCTAAAAGGTTAATATATATTTTAAAGCAAGAAGAACTTAACTTCTGTACATACTACTTTTTAATATATTTTAATCCGTATTTCAGACTTCTTAACACCGAAGAAATTTTTATGGAACTGTTGATAATTTTGCTTACTAAATCACTGGAAATAATATATTTTTTCATTTTTATAATTTAAATATTTATACCTTTATTATATCTTTACTGAAATAAAAGTGATGGCTGAGATGAATTTTTAATGTTCCAAGGAATATGAAAAATAATAGTTTTGTTATTAGAAAACTTAAGAATATTACTTTTTCAGTGGGATGCTTTCCCATCCTCTTGGAATTTTTATGTATGCATAAAAAGTCCTCTTTTCTCAAGAAAATTTATACATGTAGTATATAAGTTAGTATAATTTGCATTTCCTATAGATTTTATAGATGCCTAAGCTAAATTTCTTTTACCCTTATTGGATTAAAAATTTATAATAGGGAGATCACAGCTTTTACCTTTTTTCATGTAATTTTGTAAAAGGAAAATACTATTTAAAAACTATTGCAATTAAGTGCTACTTATACAGTGCTTCTCTAGTAAGTTTTCCACATTTAAAAGATACAATTTTTACTTATGTTTTGATAGTTTTTGTTACCTTTCTATTTAATTTCGTATGTGTTTTTTCTTGACTTTCTTTTTTTGTGTGTGTTTATTTGCATGCCTTCAATTTGCGTTGCTTTCAAAAGACCAAAGGGAATAGAAGAGGGAGGGAAAGAAGGGGATAAGCACGAAGAGATAGTTCATGAGAAGGAAGAGGTAAAGGAAGAAAGAATTAATGAGAATGAGAAAGGGAAAGAGATTTCCAATACCTGTAATAAGGAGAAAAACAGAGAATCAGGAGACGAGAAAAAAACACAAGATATACCTGAGCAAGGGAAAGAAAAAGAACAGTGGAATAAAGAGGATTTGCAAAGGAGATTCTCACAAGATGATTCCAGGTAAAATATGTTATTTTTAGGCATTTCCCATTAGTAGTATAGTCTTTTTTACTATTCCTAAAAATTATTTTGTAATTTACATTTGCTTTATTTTCTTGTGTTTTATCTATTTAGTGTTTCATATTACTAGTTAATATGTTGGCAAACTATTATCAAATAGATTAATTTATTAAACAGTCTTGAATTTGTATCCACTAGCTCTGATAGTTGGATTTATTTAGTTTCCAAGTTCGTTATGAATAGCTGAAACAAATGTAAATTTCCCTGTATATCTTTTAACATGAATTGCTATATATCTTCTTTATCTGTAAGGTCTAATAAAGATCATTGAAGAGACACTTAAAAATTCTTTGCCAATATTGAAGACTGCTTTAGACAAAAATAGTGCAAAGTTCTTTAAAATGAACTTCTTAAGTAGCTGAAAAAAATTGAGCTTATTTTATAAGAAATATTATGTACTAGAAACAAACTTCAAAAATGACTGAGAATATAGATAGCAAACAGTAGAGTTTATTCTGGCTCTGGTTCCCTTGCTTCTTCTTAGTTTTCTAGTAGGTTCTAGTGCAGTTTGAGTCCTGCAGAAGATTACAAAGCAGGGGCAGTGTATTTTAATACTCTGAAAAGAAAGAGTAGATGCCTCAGGGTTTATTAGAATGCAAATGTGGGGTTATGCCTTTCTTAAAGTCATTCCTTTAGATAAATTTCTGGAGAGGGAACTTTGAACAAGGAGAAAGGCAGGGAAAAAATACAGGCAGCATGGTATAAAAACAACTATATTTAAATTTCATAGAGCAAGCCAGTAAGTTTGAAGTTATCTTTACAGCATTATATATATTACATACAGTCAAATCAGCACAAGTGTGCAGTAAGACTTTATCCTCTGCTTGAGTATATGAAGTTGTTCTAATTATATTTATATGAGCTGAAAATCATAAATTATGTACATTTTGAAGGGATTGAGTTTTCCAGTAGTTCAGAATTTGATTTTGTGTTAAGCTTGCTCAATAAAGCACATCCTAATTATAAGCAAGATTTTGTCACATTATATCTAAGCACAATCTAAATTTGTGATTTTCTTACAGTTAGTGAGACAGATAATTGGGATAGATCTCTACCCACTGAGTGTACAATTCAGTGATTTAGCTGATGTCACATCACTTTTCGTCTTAGATATACTTAACTATATTTGTGCTCTATGAAAGTTTCTGGATAACAGGCATTAAACATAAAAATGAATCTTAAGGCATATTTTATTATTTGAGTCTAAATTAGTAATTTCAAATCTGTCTTTGGTGTTTAACTTTTGCTAATTACATTAGTTTGCTAATAAAGATGACCATTTTTTCTGATTTCTTGGGCATAAGATTATTTCATCACTAATTCACAGAGAAAAACTTCCTAAGATGTCCTTGGAAAGAGACATAGTTTCTTTCTTCCAAGAGCAAAGAAAAGAATGAGTCTCTAATGTGTTTTCTACATACTGTATAGATGAGAACGCATGAGCCCATTGATGTTTGCCTGGAGCCCAGAACCCACACTGGCATACGTGGCTTTCTGGGCAGACATTCAGAGAAGACTATAACCTTAAATTTCTGATTTTTAAATAGAACTCACTTCACCATTTCTTCAAAAAAAGAGCACATTATTTTTCAAGGAAAAGGGAAAGACGGTATATTCTAGAAATGTGGTTCATCAAAGTCCTGCACTTAAATAACTGTGTAATTCTTCTAGAACTGTAAACTAGAGGCCAGGTTGATCTCTGTAGGAAACATATATCCTGGAACATGGCAAGAAGTATCAACTGCAATTGTTTATAAGAAAATGTTGGTAGCACTCATTAATCATTGCAACACAGGCTCTTGGATTTGCCTTTACTTCTTAGAATAAATCTATCAGTCTTTATTGTGAGGGAAAATATGTTTGAGTATTCTAAGCATCATTTTGTTTTGGTAGTTGATTAACACAATCATAGACTGTTTAAACGTTAATAACAACTTATGTTCTTATACAACATTCCTGGAAAAATCTTATTCTATAATATAGGTTGAATATTTCATATCTGAAATGCTTGGGACAAGAAATGTTTCAGAATTTGGAATGTTTTCAGATTTTGTAATACTTGCATGTATGTAGTGAGATATATTGAGGATAGGACCCAAGTGTAAACATTAAATTCATTTATGTTTCATAAACACCTTATACACAAAATACTTTTGTGCATGAAACACAGCTTGTTTGCATTGAATGATCAGGAGCAAGCAAAGACATCTATCTCAGTCACTCATGTGGACAATCTGTAGTTGTTTGGTATCATCACCATTTCTTACTCTGAATTTCTATGCTCCCAACAAGTAGGCACTTTCTTGCACTTATTAACACATAAGTACTTAACATTAAAAAATATGACAAACTATTAATACAGTGAAACGGTAATGTGTTCAGGAAATTAAGCAGCATAGTAGCATCACCAGAACTCCTGTATCAGCTGTTAAGCAATAGCAACAAAAAACAGTGGCAGGCTTTTTGTCTCTCCTTACAACGTGGTGTTTTGATTTAAAGGTTACTGTGTATTGTAGCACTCAGCATGTTTGAGCATTTAGTATTTCAGATTTTCAATTAGGGAATGCTCAACCTGTACATGACTAATATTTTATACTTTTCATTTGGAATCTAAGATTTGTTAAGGGTGGTGCAAAACTAATTGCAGCTTTTGCCATTACTTTTAATGCCATTACTTTTAATGTCAAAAGCTGCAACTACTTTTGCACCAAACTAATATAAAAGAAAAAAAAATTACTTCAGATTTAAATATTTATAGCAATGCTAGCACTTTAATTAACACAATAACTACCATAAACAAAATCCGTTATAATTGCTATTTTCATTAATTAGATCTAATTGTATGATACAGATCTTATTGCATGATTACGTTCATTTTATAGTAAGTCACATTACAGTAAGTCTACTGAATGTAAAAGGAGAAATGAATAGCAAAAAGTAAGTTCAAAAATAATTTGTTAAATGTTTGAATATATTTTTCCTAAGTTAACTAATGAGTAATATATTCATACTTAGTTGTCTATATTTTCACACATCAAAAATAAACATTTTTAAAAGTTTAATGAAATTAAGCATGTTAAAATTTCTAAGCCTGAGAGTTATGCAGTTTTTTAGCCATGTGTGGATGGATGTTTGAGGATAGTTCTATATCCAAAAAATGTCAGCAGGATGGCCTCAACAAATTCATAAGAATATCCGATGAAATAATTTGGTGCAGAAAGAGGCAATCTTAAGTAATTTTCCATGTAAGATAGAAAAAACAAATACTGAAAAGCACAATATTGTCAAAAGCAACAATATTGGTAACTTTGTGTACAAATTAAAAATCAAGAAATTGTTTCTCTAGACACTTACAGTACTCAGGCATATCTATAAATGCCATGGAATTATCATTTCTCTTTTTTAAGAGAATTGCTGTTTTTGAGATAGAGAATTTTTAAGGAAAAATAAAGCATCAGTTCAAATTTTCATGAATAACTGATTTTAAAAGACAACACCATTTCAGTTTTCTAACAAAAGATCTCATAATCTTTAGAAAGGCAAGCAGAGTAATTGTTAATGAAATATTTATCCAAAGTCATTGCTGTTAACATTTTCTAGATCAGAGTTAGTGTGAAAACGGATTATATAGCTATGTGATATAGCTTTATATATACAGCCTATTTATGCCTATGTTATAGAATTTTAAAGGGGATGCAGAGGTCTCTTGAAAATACTTGTGATTAGGACTCTAAAATACCTGGATTGTCATCCCAACTGTCATGTACACCTATCCATTTTGTCTATCTGGGCTTTTAAGCTTGTTAAATAGAGGAATGGATCTTTCAATGGTTCACACTCCTTTCCATAGCTTAGACGAACATGTTACACAGCAAAC